AAAAAAAAAATCCTACAAGCAAACAAAATACAAAAATAAAAATATTCAGTTTTTGCGTCACAAAGAACCTGTTTAAAACTCATTAACATCATTAATATAAACTACAATTTGCCACTAACACCATCCTTAAAAAAACTGGTTAAAACAAAACAACAAAACTCATTATCAACTTACATCTTCATCTTCATTAAAAGCCGCTGCTACTGAAAGTGTTTTTGGAGCAAGAGTTGGAACAGTTTCTTTAGGCTTCTGAAGAAGAAACATATTAAAAAGATTATCAAGTACTTTTCTGGGGAGCAGGTTTAAAAAAAAGTATTATCACATAAATAATACTCATATAGGCTTAAGAATGTGAATAATTTAAAAGATTCGACTTTATGGGGGTTTGGGGGTAAACTTCTGGTTTGTAGAATATATCAAGTTTATGTCTTCACAGAAACTTATTAGCACTTTAGCAAAATCTACCCTCTTTTATGACATGTGGATTATTGATGGATAGGTTTTACTTTACTCATTTTTCATTTACTGACTTATTTATTTTTTGGAAACAGAGTTTTTACTTTGTTGCCCTCAGTAAAGTGCTGTGATGTCACAGCTCACAGCAACCTTAAACTCTTAGGCTCAGGCGACTCTTAGCCTCCCAAGTAGCTGGGACAACAGGCACCCCCTGGCTATTTTTAGAGATGGGGTCTCACTCTGGCTCAGGCTGTCTTGAATCCCTGAGCTCAGGCAATCCATCCACTTTGACTGTCCAGAGTGCTAAGATTACAGGTGTGAGCCACTGTGCCCGGCCTTTTATTTTTTAGAGAGAGAGTCTCAAGTTGTTGCCCTGGGTAGAGTGCCATGGAAATATCATAGCTCAGAGTAACCTCCAACTCTTGGGCTCAAGTGATTCTCTTGCCTCAGTTTTTTATATTTTTAGTACAGACAGGGTCTTCCTCCATATCAGGCTGGTCCCAAACCCATGAGCTCAAGCAATCCACCTGCCTTGGCTTCCCAGAGTATTAGGATTACAGGTGTGAGCCACTATGCCTGGCTAAAGGAAAAGGATTTTCTTGCTTGGGTCCCTGTGAGCACTATGAAACTAAAGTACCCATGGGAGCTCTTAAGCAGAGCTGTCTAGGAGGCAGATGGCAGCCTGTCTGAGGGTAGACACAGAATTCGGTGGTTAAAACTATTGAAAACTACAGGAATGAATGAAATTGACCAGAGAAGTACATAGAAAGGAAGGTTACTAACAACAAAATCCTGAGTATCAGTATTTTAAGTGGGGAGCTTCATAGAGAGAAGAGATAAGGAACAAAAGGTGGGGAAATTAAGTGAATAACCAATAAAAAGCATGTCATAAAAGCCAAAGTATGGATGTTTTCCAAAAGGACCTGATGATTAAAGTGTGGCATACTAGTGGCTGGTTATCCTACAGAGAATAATTTTAGGAAAGTGAAGTAGGGAGCCAGATTATAGTGGATTGAAGACTGAAAGAGTGGTAAAAGGATGGGTATGTTGAGGGCAAATTAAATTCTTCATAAACCTTGGGTTAGACAGAAGAGATGGTGTGGGCAAAGTATGTTTACAGGTCTAAGGGAAGAAAGCTAGCTAGTACAGACAGACTAGTCATGTTGTCTTTTATGTTCTTAAGGGATTGTATTTAATGTTACTACCTTACCTGTACTCAGTACCCCTTAGTTTCCTGATATAATAGACCCTTTCTTTCTTTCTTTTTTTTTTTT